TATACAAATAATTTCAGGGCCACCTTAGTTTAATACAATCAAATTCAGTTTTTGCAGAGATGCCATTTCAGCAGTTTACATGATTTGTTATCAAATTGATAAACATTTTTTTGATTATCCATGACATGATAGATTTAGTTGATTAAAATGACAAAACCTAAGTCTTAAACATTTATTAAATGAATGGTGAAATAATTAAAAGATAGTATTTACCAATCCAGTAAGAGCCAGCTGGGTTCCCAAAACCTTTTTTGTATTCCTCCCACGTCCTGTTGAAACCAGTAGATCCGCTCAATCGTCTCTGAATTGCCTGAAAATGACCAATATAGTTTTAATAAATAATAAACACTAGTTTCATTCTAATTCCACAACAGTATTGATCTAAAAAGAAAGTAAAAAAACACAGAAATTTAGAGAAGTCTACAAATTTTGGTCTGATTAATATAAACGTAAATCGTCATCGAATAACAGAGAGAGAGAGAGAGAGAGAGAGAGAGAGAGAGAGAGAGAGAGAGAGAGAGAGAGAGAGAGAGAGATATCTTACTGTCCACCCTCCGCCCTCTACCTCCATGTTGCAGAACACTTTCATCCTGGTCTCGATACCAAAGGGTTCTATTAGGTATACCCCAGACGGTTTGACCCCGGTAAAAAAGATTTCCCAACAGTCAGCATTAAGATTTAAACCTAAACAAAAAAAGGGAATAAATTAATGATATTGCAATAAATAAATCCTATCAATAAATACATTAATTAAAATTGATAGAGAGAGAGAGAGAGAGAGAGAGTGATTTACCTTTTTTGACGATTTGAACATCTTCCTGGGTCTTGGTTACATCTTCATTGAGTCTCATCACCATCTGTCTGAGGGAATCTACAGTTTCTTGTATCCTACGCTGTGTGGTCTGAAGTCTTTGAATTTTTTCAATTGTCTCACCATCACTGGAACAGTCGTCATTTTCATTCATATAAATGTTCTGAGAACTTGTGCACAAGATACCACATGCAAGGAACACTGCCCTTACTATTGCCATGTTTAAACTTTTTTGTAGTCTTAACTAAAGCTTTTATGGAATAAAGCGTTTCTGGAATATATGCACACCTTTATATATCTCTACTCAGGGAAGTTTAAAATTTAACCAATGAAATAATTCAATACCCTCCTAAAGAGTCACTTAAATGTAAATCACAAAATTATGCAATCAAAAAATAATGGAAACATATGATAAAGCATGTATATCAGGCGCATTTTTTTTAGATTAATTTAAGCACTCACAAGTTCAAACAGTGAAACATATACACACATTAACAGTACACAGTGAATTTCATAATACCTTTTATACTTCGTACAACTCCAACAAGAGATCATTCAAAAATACAAAAGCCTCATCAATATAGATTTAAAAGATAAAAGATTCATGATTAATCAAAATATCTGGATTATTTCATATGTTCATATGTTTCTTCTTACCCTCTTCTTACTGTATTACTCAACTCCATCATTTTTAACAATTATCATTTTAATCTTGTTGTCATAAAACTACTGCTACTTTGTGGATGTATTGAAAGTAATCCAGGTCCATCACTTTTTTCTAATATCACTATTGTGCATAATAACGTTTGTAGTTTGTTGCCAAAGATTGATCTTATTGATGCAGAGATGTCAGAAAATGATATAATAGCAATAACTGAAACACATTTAGACGACAATATTAGTAATGAAGAAATTTTGATAAATGGTTTTCATGCGCCAATCAGAAAAGACAGAAATAGACATGGAGGGGGTGTAGCTTTGTATGTATCTACTATGTTAAATTACACTTTGAGAAATGATATAAATGATCCTAATATTGAGGTATTATGGGTTGAGATTTGTACACAGAAACAAAAGTTTATAGTTGGAGTAATCTACAGACCTCCTCATTCTAATTCTGAATATTGGAATAACTTCTCTAATACCATAGAAAAGGCTTTAGATACTGAAATGTCAATATTTTTGGTCGGAGATTTTACGTAAATATGTTAACAGCGGGTAACAATACCTTTAAACAACTCATACAAAGGCTGAACATCTCTAATGTGGTAACTGAACCAACTAATTTTACTTCAAATACAGGAACCTGTATAGACTTAGTTCTCACAAACGATGTAAATAAAGTAGAAACTGTAAAGGTCAATGCACCAATATGCAGTTCACATTCCCCAGTCATAGTTGATATATCTTTTAAGGCCTACAAACAAAAGGCATATAAACGAACTATAAGAAACTATAACTTAGCCGACTACCAAAGCTTGAATGACGAATTGAATCACGTTAAATGGGATGAGGATGTGTTCAATTGTGAGAATATTAATGAAGTAAATAATAATTTTAATTTAAAATTGATGACCTTAGTTGATAAATATATCCCTACGAAAGTCATTACTGTCCGACCCTCTGATAAACCTTTTATTACGAACGTAATTCGTAGAAAAATGAGGAAAAGAAATAGAATACATCATAAAGCAAAACAAACAGATAATCCTAATCACTGGAAAAAATTTAGAGAAATTCGTAATGAGGTAGTCAAATTAGTACGAAAAGCTCGAAATGATTATAAAGTGAAACTGGCCTCTCAACTTATCGATAAGACTATTCCTCCAGGTAAATGGTGGCGAATTGCTAAATCTGTCTCAAGATTTAAAAAACAAAATACTTCCCCTCCTCCTCTGAAATCTAGAGATGGTAGGATATTTGTTCATCCAATTGATAAAGCAGAAGAATTTAATAACTATTTTGTAAATATTTCACACATAAACACTGAGCCTGATCTCCCTGAACATGGACCAGGTCCTCCAATTAATTGCTTTGATGATTTTGAAATTACTGAGCAGGACGTTCTTGATCAATTATCAATCTTAGATACCTCTAAACCACCAGGACCAGACGGGTTATCTCCAAGAATCCTAAAAGAAACACGGTTCTCTATTTATAAACCAATAACAAAACTTTTCAACATGTCACTCAGTAAGAAATATCTACCTTATTTATGGAAACAAGCACATGTTTCCCCAATCTTTAAAAATAAAGGAAGCCCCGACAATGCTAATAATTATAGGCCCATATCTCTTACAAGTTCTGTCTGTAAAGTTATGGAGAAAATACTTTTCAAATATATGTACAATTATATAAAAGACTACGAATTGATATCAAAAAATCAATCTGGGTTCCAACCAGGGGACTCTACAATAAATCAACTAGTGGAAATATATGATAAAATTATGTCAAATCTTGACAAAGGCCGAGACTTAAGATTTATATTCTGTGATATTTCAAAGGCCTTTGACAGGGTCTGGCACAAAGGACTTATTTTTAAACTTAAAAACTTAGGCTTTAAAGATAATATTTTGGGATGGATTAAAGATTACCTTACTGACAGACAACAAAAAGTAAATGTAGAAGGCTTTTCCTCAACCTTTAAAACTGTTGATGCGGGAGTACCCCAAGGGTCTGTGCTAGGCCCATTTTTATTCTTATTATACATTAATGACATTACTGAAGGCATACATAATGAAATCAGATTATTCGCGGATGATACATCATTGTTTGCAATAGTGGACACTGATATTAATACTCCTACATCATCTCTTACAACTGATCTTGATAAAATAAAGAAATGGTCAAACTCTTGGGCAGTAGACTTCAATGCTGATAAAACAAAAAATGTTAATTTTACAAGAAAGCAACGACTTTTCCCAGACATTCATTTTGGTGAAAACGGAAATATTATTGAACAATCTAATAGTCATACACATCTAGGACTCCTATTCCAATCTGATGCTAGCTGGAATAATCATGTTTCTGCTATTTACGAAAAAGCTTGTAAGAGATTAAATATTTTAAGACTTTTAAAGTACACACTAGATAGAAATTCTTTAATTAAAATATATCTAGCGTTTATTAGACCGGTCCTTGAATACGCCGATGTAGTATGGGATAATTGCTCACAAGAAAATGCAGAATTATTAGAAAAGGTCCAAGTAGAAGCCGCAAGAATTATTACTGGTCTTAGAGTAAATTCCTCAAGATCTAATCTATATGACGAACTCGGCTGGGAGTCATTATGTCAGAGAAGAACAAACCATAAACTAATATTATTTTATAAAATGTTCCATGGTATTGCTCCTAATTATCTTAACGAATTAATACAGCCCTTCCAACCAGTGCAACACTCTTATAGTTTGAGATCAGATGGTAATAATCTTACTTTACCATTATGTAGAACTGTATCATACTATGAAAGTTTTATTCCTTCAACTATAAAACTGTGGAATAATCTTAGTTCTGAAGTGAAAATGTCTCCTTCTTTATCGATTTTCAAGTCAAAATTAAACCAACCTTTTAGCAGTTGTAAATACTTCAATTATGGAAGCAGAAACGAGAATATACTTCACTGTCAACTACGTAACAAAGCTAGTAATCTTAATGCACACCTAAAAAATCATTATATAATAGACGATGCATCTTGTCCAAAGTGTAATTACCATACAGAAGATAATAAACACTTTTTTATGGATTGTCCAGCATATAATATTCAAAGAAATAAAGTAAGAAAAAACTTAAATGAGCTTGATGTACCTTTTGATCTAAAAATTCTTTTACAAGGGAGTTCGGAGTATTCGTTCCAAACGAACCTCAATATTATAAAAAATGTACATGAATATATCAAGTTAACAAAACGCTTTTAATCATATTTTCTTTTTTGATATGCACTCTTGTCACTTTATACATGTTTATATTTATTATACTTATTTTGATCTGGATCTGTGCGAGTCAGGGTGTGGTTGCGTGTGTGTGTGAGGGTGTGTGTGTGAGTATGTTAGAATGCGTATGTGAGCACTCATATCATAATATGAATTGTAATTATTTACTCTGTTCATTGTATTGTTACCATGACCTGTTATATAGAGAGGGTATTTATAGGCTTAAGCCTGTTGCCCAATCTATTCAGTTTACTGAATAAATATTGTTTAAATCACATGTTCATATGTTCTGATAGCACCTGTGTGTATTCTTGGTATATTTTATAGTTATTAAACACATCTTCCCTAAAGAATTTTTTAAAATAAAAAATGAGTGCACTTTAGTAGTCATTTGGAACCTTTTCGACTACCCATTTTAATCTGGACATTACACTATCAATACACTATTTTATTGTGCATTGCTGAAGAAAGATTTAATGGAAGACATGCACTTAAAATTGATTCTTTCAGAAAATCATTAGGGAAAAAATTGACTAGATAACCGAAAAAAAAAATTACCAAAAAAACGTTGAGACATGAAAGGCCAAAATAACAGATTTATGATATAATATTTATAAATATTTCTTTTCTGATCATACATCGAATAAAAGGTATTTGTAATTTGACTTTCAAATATTTCTCGAAATCTGCAAAATTCATTAGATATGTACATAATTTTTTACTCCTTTGTAATACACAGAACATATTTTGTGGTTTGTATCATTATAAAGCCAAAATCAAGATAAGCCAATGTCATGCGTAAATATATATGTTTCTTTGTTTCTATAATCTTGTCAAAGAGACTGATTGCAATTTCGAAGAAAAACAACCAGGCGAAAAAAGAACATTTATGTAAAAGTGATTAATGCCATTTATTTTTTAAACGATGCGCAGATATCGTTACATAACAGGGTCCTTCATAAACGTGTTACTGAAGTTATAATACATGTGGTGCTCAGTAAAATCATGATCCCCCTATTTAACTCAATAGGACAATTAATATATACACAAATCACAAGACAGGGTGACAAAGCGCTGGAGATATTTTGAAATACACTTAAAGTCATCATTTCGTCAGTTCTACTTATTGGTCGATACAATGACCTTGTCAGCAAATAAAATTTGTTATTGATTCAAATGCTGACTGACTTTTTAATACTAATTGTTAGTACTTTATTTATACAATGAATTGACGACAAATTTATTCATTATTTCCCGATCATGACAAAGAGCTCACGGTGGGTTTGATATATCGGCAGGGTATGCACTCTCACCCAATGCAACTGATCCCATCTCTGATGATTTGGAAGTCCGTATTTGCTTAACTACTGTTTTGTATTGATTAATGGACTTTTGATCTTGAATACTGTTCATTATCTCCATATGTAACATTAAACAAAATAACATGCCAATCCTTACCGTAAACAATATATTTTGTCAACTTATGTTGTGATTTGGTAAAGCCTACACTCTTTAGCCCTACTACTTTCCTGAAATTCGGGTAAGAAAAAATGAATT